CGTTGTAATAGATAACGAAAAATCCCTTAATTCAGCCTCAATCACTTTTATGATGCAGGACCAATTAAATATAGAAGTTTATAAAACACCACCCTACAAAAGCGCAGTAAACGGTCAGGTAGAGAGATTTCATTCAACACTATCAGATATTATGAGATGCAACAAAAGAAAACAGGAACACAGAACATTCGAAGAATTACTTAACAAATCAATATACGACTACAACTACACCATACACTCGACAACTAACAAGAGACCATTAGACATATTCTTCGGCAGAAACGTGACTACAGACCCAGACCAATACGAAAAAGCTAGGCAGGAGAACATTGACAGACTCAAACAGAAACAATCGACCGACATGCAGAATCATAACAAAAAACGTAACGACATACGAACTTATATACCAGGTCAAGAAATATTCGTCAAAGTCAATACCAGATTAGGTACCAAACTGTCACCCAGATACAAAAAGGAAATAGTTAAAGAAAATAGAAACACAACCGTACTAACAACAACTGACAAAATAATACATAAAAGCAACATAAAAAATACATAAAAATTACAGATTCCTATTAGTGATGACAATAAAGGCAACAGAAGGACACTTGGATATCTTGAACTACACAGACGCACAAACAATTACAATTCTAAAAGGAATAGGGAAACTACAGACATCGACAACACGAATCGTACAAGTCATAGAGCTAGAACAGATCAAAAACGCATTAGATAATCTCCTTTTTTACATCGAAAAAGACTTAAGAACCAATACTTTATACCACACTTTACGGCACGAAATAACGCAAGCTATTGTCACTTTCAACACAATATCACTTTTTCATAAACGTAAGACTAGAGCGATCAACATTATAGGCACAGCTTGGAAGTTTGTAGCCGGCAGCCCGGACAATGACGACTTAGTAATGCTTACCGACAACATAAACAAACTTATAGAAAACGACAATAAACAGCTTATCATAAACAGGCAATTAGAAGAGCGAATTAATAAACTCACGAAAATCTCAAATGATTTAACCAATAGCATAAGAAAGGAATCTCTCATAAGTGATGAGATAGCTATTAGCCTACAAAATCAAATTAGGCTCATAAAAGAAGAAATAATTAATATTAAGTACGCCATACAATGGGCGAAATTGAATTTAATAAACACATTCCTACTTGGCGAAAAAGAAATAGAGATAGTAAATGATAATTTTAAAAAAAGTAACATGCCACCTTTAAATATTGAAGAAATGCTAGAATTCGCAGATGTATCCATTTTGCATAATGGAACCACTCTGTTTTATGTTGTAAAAATTCCAAATTTAGAAGAAATAGAATGCAAAAATACTTTAATAAAGCCAGTAGTGAAAAACAACAATATAATAAATTTAGAATTTAACGAACTGTTTCATTGTAATAAAACAATCTATGGCATAAACAACAATTGTAAAAGATACAATAATATTAAAATTTGTAACAAATCAAAAATTGTAAACTTGAATACTAATAATTGTATACCTAAGCTAGTTAGTGGAGAGCAAGCGCTCTGTGGCTTTAGCAATGCAGATCATATCCCGGAGATCGAGGAAATCGACGATGGACTTATACTAGTGAACGACTTCAACGGCACTATTAGATGGCAAGAAGAGAAGAAACGTGTGAGGGGCACCTACATGATTAACTTCTGGAACGAAACCTTATTCATCAACAACCAAGAGTTCAGCAACCTAGAGGTCACCTTTATGACCCCAGGAAATCCCACAATACAAATAACCCCAATAGAAAACGAAAGAATTAAGATTCTTTCTCTGGAAGCACTTGAAGAATTGCACATCAATAACATAAAAAACATGCAAAAACTTCAGACGCACTCTATAGCAAATAGAGTCGCTTTCATAACTCTGTTCACAGTTGCCATCCTTCTTACCTGTGTATTACACGTAATGAAGAAAAATAAGAAAAATATAATACTGCAACTGAACAAAGAACAAGAGAGACCCAGAAAAGAACCAGCACATATCCAAATACAAAATACAGATGCCAATAACCTCAGGTTCAACAACATACCTTTCTTCTGATGATCGCTTGAGGACAAGCTTAAATTAAAGGGGGAAGAGTTAACAACAAATAAATTCACACAGTCCCAATAAGAAGCATTGCAACACCTCATAAGAAGTGCAGCGAAATGCTGACTTGGTGTCTGTGCCATTTCCTCCACGCGCCGACTGGCAACCGCCGAAAATTCCAAGAAGAATTGCCCAACGGGCCAACAACATCAGCAGCGACGCCGCTGCCAACGCCGCTGCCGCTAAGCCACAGGTTACTAGGGCTAGAATTGATTTAAGTTTATTCAGTTGCAAATTACCATCAAATAAAGGAAGTCTTGCTTCCCTAAAAATAATAATTTTTTTCATCGTTTAATAAACTTTGGAATTAACTTATATGCATGTAGGTGCATATATGTACGTCTTAAGTGTGTGTTTATTTAAGATTGTATGTATGCATGTATGAATCATGTGTGAATATATGTGTGAAGTTTTCTCTGAATATACGTCTGTATATATAAGTGTTTGTATGTATTTTTCTATGTCTATTGTATGTATGTGTTTTGAAGGCATATGTACGTATTTTTAACGTATTTTTACCATTAAAAATGGGTAAAAAGGGTATATTGTATTTGTGCAAAATGCAAATGTATGTAACAGGCATGAAGCATCTCCGACCCCATAAAGTATATATATTCTTGATCAGCATCAACAGCCGAGTCGATCTAGCCACTTGCGTCTGTCTGTCTGTCCGTCTGTCCGTCCGTCTGTCCGTATGTCCGTATGTATGACCGCAAGGATTTCAGAAACTATAAGAGCTAGAAAGTGTTGGGTTGTCACAATTTAAATGCAATTGACTTTTTGAGAATACTCAAAAATTCTATGCTACAATAGGATATACTGTAGAAAATTTCATTAAGATCGGTTAAGAAAAACCCAAAGTTATATGTAACTGCGCAATTGGATGGGCAGCAAGCGAAAACATCAATGAAACAACTCCATTTGGTGTTGGAATAAAAATAAGAATAAGAGTCGGGAGCTCCCGACTAGAACCTCTTACTTGTTGTATGTATGCTTGTATGTATGTATGACTGCATTTATGTGTGTATGTTTGTATGTATGTATGTGTATATGCATGCATATATGCAAATAAATGTATGCATATATACACATATATTTTAATGTATGTATATATATATATATATATATATATATATATATATATATATATATATATATATATATATGACCAAGCTTACCACCAGCTGCGCTTTTAGATAAATCCCTTCTACTCGATTCTCATGAACCCAAGATAGTCTTAGGTATGTAATGGAGACGGCTGCTTTAACTATAGAAGAGGCGGCATCTTGATCAAAGGAAACGGCGGCCTTAATATTGGAGGAGGAGAAGGCTTGAACAAAGGAGGATTCGGCGGCTTGAGCAAAGGAGGATACGACTTTAATATTGGAGGAGGCAGATTCAACTATGGAGGAGACGGCAGCCTAAGCTAAGGAGGAGACTGCTTCGTCAAGAAATGAGGAGGCGGCTTCAAATTTAGAGGTGGCTGCATTAAATATGGCACTTGAAAAAACTGGTTCGTATTATAGTGTGTATGTTGAGAACCAATGCTCTATGTAATTATCACCAATTCAAGTAAAGTTTGTCTCCCAGCACTAATAGATGATTTTAAAATAATCGTCCGTTACAGGTGAGTTCGTAATTACAAATATATATTTATTTATTTAAAGCCAAGATATGGATATAAATACTAGATAAAATATAACTATAATAGCGCATATGGTAAAACGCTAAATATTTATACTATTAACCAGTATCGAGAGCCAAGTCTCTCAAATTCAATACTTGAAGCAGCTTAAAATATTCCTTAATAAGGGTCAAGTCATATCAACATCTTAGCCCTATATCACACGGGTACAGGGAAACAAGTTGCCAAAAACTTAATTCTAGCATTTTTCGTGGCTAAGTATATGCCCTATAAGAGCTATATGTCTGCTACGGTATTTAATCTTTGTCACACTCCAGTTAACTGTGCTTTCTTGTGGTTTTTAACTTTGATCGAAACTTTGATTGACACGCAATTGTGGGGCATCGTGTCCAATTAGCTGAATATAAGACGCGACAATGCGCTTGGCTTTGTCGTGGATCAAAACACGTTGTCAACCAACTGAATGACTGACTGCCTGAATGGCTGAATGACTGACTGATTGTCCGTCAGACATGGTTTGTCTTGCAGTTCAAAGCGTTAATTACTCAATTCAACTGTCTTTGGGCTAAAAGTTGGGCGAGACAACGCAATCGCTGACAACGTTGTCGTTGGGGTCAAAGGGCTGTCGAGAGAGAGGCAGCGGGTAGGGGGACAAAACACGGACAGCACAAAATTTATTACACCGCATAATTGCACAGCCAGAGCGCTTCTGAGGTGGAAGCCAGCTGGAGGCGTGGCAGCGGAGAGGATGGGGGTAGGGGTTAGCAAAGGAAGCGCCCGTTGTTGCATTTGCTAACAAATCGCTGAGAGCGGAAGCGAAGTCGTGTTACAAATGCGCGAACCAGAACAAGAAGAACAAGCAGCTGTACAAGCCAGCGAGTGCAACAGAGAGAGAGAAAGTGAGAGGGAGAGGGAGAGAACGAGCGAGAGCGAGACAGAGATAGGCGACGCGTGCTAGGACTGTGGGCCATGTCGGTTAGACCGCCAACTTTATGGCGTAATCTTTTAAAAGTAATCTACAAATCTGCCAGGCGCTCGCCGCAGGTCGTTTGCTTGTGACCCTACCCCCGCCCCTCCTCCTCTCCAGGCCCCTAACATACCCCATGTCTACCCTCTGTGGGTCACATATACATATATAATGTTTGGCTTTGACTCTGGGGCGCATTTTAATTGCGTGCCCCTGGTCTGACCCCCAACACCCGAAGAAACATCACTCAACTTACCGCCCGGTCGCCCAGATTCCTAACGCGGCAATGCAGCAGCGCCGCTTGCCCCACGGTTGCCGTGACCTCACGCCGCGAGGAGTTATCAAAATACGGCTGCGAGTAGGGGGTTTCCCAGTAGTGTGGAGGCACTTCGCTGATGACCAAGCTGCTTTCTATATACACATAGAGTAATAATAAAAAAAAAAAAACAAGAATAATAATTAAAAAAGTGGTAGACAATATGAAGCCAACGGCGCAATACTCTGTTCACAGTAAGAAAATTGTAATGCCTAAAGTAATATATTACAAATATTATCTCCAATCTACAAAAACGGAAAAGGGATTGATTTGATTTCCATTCGGTTGATGGTTCAATACCTGTAAGTTGCATAAGTTGTACCTGATTTTGAACGTGTTAGAGAACAGATTTTCGTTAATTGAAATATTATGTTTTGACTGGACGTTCGAGTTATTTGCTTCAGTTTAAGCCTTGGTTCACAGTTAGCAAATATTCGATAATCGGGCTTGAGTCATTTTCAGTCTTGCTTATAGAAGCCGTATAAGATCTTGCTTGGTGACTCCAAAACTGTTACGCTCGTAACTCTCAAACTATAATCAATTTAGATTTTTGCGTGTGCGATGGCGTGCGTGAGCCAAAAGTTTTTGGCTTTATATTTGAGAGAGAAAAAAATTGATAATCCAACAAAACATATTTCGTGACTCTATTACTTGGCTAAGGCAGCACTAGTGGGCGTGGCCAACACTTGTAAAAACTTTCCCTGACAACAATAAGCACTTACATAAAGAGTTATCATCATCATCTAGACGGAGGAGTAAGCCAATAAGCTCGATTTGTTTTGTGAATAGAGTATTGCAAATCAGCCAAGCATTTTGTGCTGCTGCGCCTCGTGTCGATTTAAATGCCCTGTCATTGGCATCTGAAGCCAGAAACTTACCAAATAACACCAGCAAGAGCCACAGTTGTGTTAGCCAAAGCACTTTCTGGGGGCAGGCCCAACTGTATTTGTTATCCCTCGACATAATTCACGTTGATCGATGAACTGGCAGCTGATTTTTTCTCGGCTTTATTGTACTTTCTCCTTGCTGTTGTTGTTGTTTCCAGTGGCCTCTGCCTCAACATAGAAGCTTAAGTCTGATAAAGTCTAGAAAAGAAAGTTAATGCGTAAAAATGCTCAGATTAAAAGTTGTAATGCGATAGGTATTTAAGAAAACTGTATAAACAGATGACGGGCTTCATCTAGCTGGGAAATAAAAGATTATGCTACCAATTATTTACCATTAATTATTTTATAATATTTATGAATATATTTTATAGTATAGGTTTAATATAATAATGAAGTAAACAGTCAACTTAAAACTATAAACATATATTATATTTAATTAATATATATTTTTTTAGTATATATTATTATCATATGACCTTTTTTCCTTTAATAAACAACCAACTGCAACCAACTTACTCAATAGACATTATATATATTGATTTATAATCATGAAATTTTGGCTAATTGGCAGTCCAAACCATTTTATTAGCTTTACCATAACAAATAGATAATATTTGTACTTTCACTAATGCATTTTCTATCTGCCTATCGAAATGACAATAATAACACCTGGTGGACACTACTATATACCTATATAATTTGAATACAGTCAATAGCCCAAGAGCCCTGGCTGTACTTTTTATCAATTGATCAGGGGCTAGACGAGCAGAGAATTAGAATTATGCAACAAGATAATCTTAAAAATTAAAAATTAAATTATATTTAAGTGCCTTTTAAGCAATTACATTTGATTAGCTGTAAGCTCATAATTTTGCTGCGTTGAAGGCCATAAAAATGAGTAGCAATAAACTTGAAGCAGCTCTGAAAAGTAGGCTAAATAAAAATTACAAATATGGGCTGTTCTAGATTTCATTCTCGATTTCATTTCGCTATGAAATTAATCAAAGTGAAACTGTTTTCAAGTTAAGGACATTTTTTCTGATACCCTGATAATGAAATTGAATGAAGTAGATAAAAATGTATTAAATTCACTAATTGTTAAAAAAAATAAAAAAAATAAAAATCTTAACCATAATCGAAACCCTAATTAATTTAAGTGAGCAATTGGGAAACACTATTAAAGCTTGCAAAAGCTCAACGAGTTAAGCAAAAGCTCTATGGAAACTCTTAAAGCTTCAGTTAGGCAGCTTTCAGCATTAAAGTCACAAATACTTAAAGTTTAAGCTTTTAAATCGCATTTCAACCCACTTACATAGTTCGACTTTCAAATCAAGTTGTCTTAAACTTATGACTTAAACATATTTTCGTGACGAGATTTTTTCTAGATTGTAATAGTAATCGAAAATGTTATACAAATTCCAACAATTTCTATACTCATACGCTGAATAAATGAGAAACTCTTGAGTAGCTGAGGAGCAGAGCCCAGTGCTTAATAGAATAATTTATTGTAATTACTATTTTTGGGGAGTTGCTCGGTTCAGCTACAGCCTTTAGATAAACGAGGCAGCTTTATCACCAAATAAGTGCTTATTTATACGCTTTAATACTTATTTCTCCAGCGGTCCAAGTACTCGTATTATTCGGTGAATTTGTTATAAATTACATTTACAATTTATGACGGCCACTTACGGCCGTAGCTCTTTCCCTCTATCATAGCCGAGACCAGAAAACCCGAAATATTTGTCCAGCTGCGTTGGGTGAGCGGAACAGAACAGAAAAATTCCATGAAAATACATTTAGCACGGGAAAGTGTTCATAATCCTGCGCCATTACTCAAAAATATTCATATATATATGTACATACAATATATATATATATATATTCGTTGTCTGTCCAATTAGCTGCGTGACTCGGGTCAAGGGGTTCGTGTGGCCCGCTATTTGTTTTGGTCAGTAGCACCCTCTATATGTGTGTGTGCAACTGTGTTTATTTGTTTGTGCCTCTGACCGCTGTCCCTTTTTGCATGAGCATTTTGCGCTGCTATTATAAAGAATTATCGCCCCGGGGCCCCAAACGTCATTTTTCCATGGAAATCAAACAAACAAATGCCAGGTCCTAACCAACACTTAGCTACATTTTTGAATAAAGCATTTTAAAACCGCATATTTGTCAAAGTCACAAGCAAAAGGGCGGGCTCTAGAATATGAGTTCCATATGGTAAAAACCATTTAGATGATTTGGACAGTAAGAGGTCCACTTAACACTAGTTGCCATCTGATTTCATATGATATTTTCCTTTTAGTTACTTATGATATTTTTTTTTTTAACATTCTCTTATGAAACTTTTCTTTAAAAAGTAGTCTTAAGTCAAAATAACCTGTAAGAGGCGTTCTCCAACCTCAATGTTATATTCGCTATTACACACGCTTTAATGGGCTCTATTCAACAAAAAAGTAGACTCTAGCTTTTGGTTTTCCTGGATTTCCTTTCATTATATTTCCTTTTATGCTCTTTTCGTATAATTTATATACCACTTATTACAATTTTTCTTAGTCTTTATTTTCCAATTGGATTTCGCATAGTCCAGTTCTATTACCGAAAAGAACTTTTAACTGTTGCCTCTGCTAGAGTCTTATATGATATATTCTCATAGCTAATATGTCCATCTTTTATATTTCCTATTCTTATATTCTCTTTTGTGATACCTCCTCTATCATGTCTTTTAGGATGTTACTTATTTTGATTATTCTTAGCCCTATCCTCTTGGTTTTGTATTTGCCAAAATTAAAAACCATCCATTCATATTTTCTAATTAGATTTCTCACTTACCAGTTCTTTACCTTACAGAACTTTTAGCTGCTGCCTCTGCTAGAGCCTTATATATATATATTCTTATAGCTAATATTTCTCTTTATTATATTTTCTTTTCTTGTATTTTCTTTTCGTGTATTTCCTTTTGTGATATATCCTATTTTGTTTAATATAATTAGTATGTTGCTAATTTTAGTTATCTTTAGCGCTTTGCTAAGCTATTTTCCAAAAACAGAACTCTTAACTGTTATCCCTACCAGTGTCTTATATGATATTTCCCTATAGATCATATGCAAAGTATGCTTTTACTTACCTCAAAGCACCTTTTCTATGTGTACTCCTCGCATTGCCTGTGTGCCGGCTTCATTTTGAGCCCAATTCGGAGTTCTATACTTTTTGCAGAGCTGATTTATTTTGACAATCGATTGCGCAATGCGGAATAATTAGTGGAGAGTCAACATTTATGTGTGCAAACATTTTTCGCTTCGATTGCCGCTCATTTGGGCTGCCATTGTTGCTTTCTCCGGTTTAACGTTTGTGTTTTTCTTTCTGTTTTTATTTTTTTATTGTTTTTCTTTATATATTTTCTCTGGCAATAACCTGGACTACCAAATATTTCCGTTTAGCACTCGACCAACGACAGTGAACGTGGTCACGAAGGGCGGGGGGAAACGGGGAGAAGCAGGGCGTCGAGGACAGCGACGACAGCGTTGCCTTTGTATTATTTTATTTGTATGTATATGTATGCATGGGCCCGTTAGGTACTGCTCTATAGGTATGCGATATAAGCACTACACACTTCGATACAATCACTCACTCACACACACAAACGCACACATAGGCGCGCGTGAGCTTCGCATTTTTGTGTATCCGCCTCGTACGTGAGCAACGTTCGTGTTGTTGTTGCTGTTGGTTTGACTGGGGATACAGTTATTAAATAGCCGTTGTTTTTCTTTATTTTCGTTTCTGCTTAAGCTGTTTTTTTATTTTTATATTAAATGTGGCACAATGTAAGTTTTCAATTGCAGCAACCGTGCGTACACGTGCATCCTAGCGGCAGGATTCACGTACTGGAACTGATTCATCAGGCAGCAGGCAGTCAACGCGTGTCGTCGTCTACCTTAGGCGAGAGCAGCACACAGCCGAATGCCACCCGAAGCGGCTCACTCAAAGTGCGCTCTCAAAAGCTCACAGCACAGTCGCAGCGAGAACGAAGCAGAGAGAGAGAGACAGAGAGTGAGAGAATAAGAGCGCGCGCGGCAGCATGAAACTTTAATTTGCGTTTTTTCTTTACATTTTTAATAAGCAGTAAAGTGGGCAAATTTTTTTCGCAATGCATTAAAGCTCGGCAAAGGGTTTGATTTTGTCGCAGGTAGTACAAAGCAACGGCCGCAGAGCCAAAGCTTAAGTTGAACGAAACGAAGCAGAGAATGCGACAGAGAGCGCATTGAAATAGAGAGTGTTCTGACAGTGGCTCTCACGTTAACTGGGTTATTAGCACAACCTGCCTCAACTCAACTCAACTCAATTCGTCGCGTCGCGTCTCGTCGCATCGGAACGCGGGCCCGAGCATAATGTGCTCAATAGTCACGTACAAATGAATATTCGCCATACACACGCCTTCGTTTTGGCATATTAATATAGTCGACATTTGGGGGCTTTGCATCGCACATGAATGATTTACGTTGGCCCACAGCAATGTGATTTTTACCGCAATATGTAGGTATGTTTGTAAGCATTGCCCAACACTGAGCACCGAACTTCCCCCTCCCCCCCTCTCACCACCACCACCACATTTGCATGCGACAAAAACAATTGAACAGACAGTTATAGGCCAATTTGAGTTTATGTACACGCGTCGCAGTCGTGAAAGATTTGTAAGGCCGCTCCACTAACTACCCCCTGTCCAATAAACACCTGTACATGCTGCTATTGCTGCTGGTTTCCATGGCCGACCGTGTCAAATGTTGCGTGTTATGGGCCGCAAATGCTGCTGTCGAAAGCGTATCCGTAACCTCACACACCCGCAATTGGCCCCCAAGCCCCGCGCAAAACATGGCCGGACAGCAGAGGGACGCGACGAGCGCCTGGCTTTTAGTCTAAGCTTCGGGGGTCGTTGTCGACGTCGCCGTCGACGTTAACGTCCGCGTCGGCGTCAGCGTTGGCGTCGGGGGGCATTTCAACGCGCGGCTTACAAGCTAATAAATAAAGTGCCAAAATGTTCGGTCAAGAGTGCTTGACTAGAAAAACGCTCGGTGCGCTGCTGAATGTAAATTCTGTGTGGGAACAATGTATAAATGCCAGAGTGCGACACCTAGCGGACAATTGGGGCACTCGAGCGCTTCAAGTTCACGATTCCCTTGACCAAATAATATAAGTTTATAAATTTATATTTTTATATATATATATAGCACAATGCTTTGTGGCACAATAAAAACTATTTTTGGCATTTTTGATTGTTGTGGCAGCTGCAGAAATACAAATTTATTTTTCATATAATGCGCTTCTGCACAAGGCAAGTGCTTTAGTTGCGGTAAAAAGTTTGAAAAGAAAAGCAAAAATTTATTTTTTAATAAATTTAAATTCAAATTTACGCATGCTTTGTTTGCTCTAAGCAGTGTTTAGTTTACACATCATTTTGGTTAAGCTTGCAAAATGTTAAATTTTCTAAAGCTAATCGTGTTTTAAGCTGCTGTTAATACCATCTCCTTTATATATATACATATATATATATATATATATATATATATATATATATATATATATATATATATATATACATGAAAGGAAAAGAAGGTATATATTCATCTAATGCAACAGCTTTTGCAGCAACAAACTTGCTTGATTAGGTTTATTTAGTTGGTATTTTTGTTATGATTGATAGATTTAAAGTTTTATAAAGTTTTATATCTGCCTTGACGCTTTCATAAGTTTCTCAGACTTCATATCATTTTAGAACTGTACAAACGTATTTATGTACATATGTGTGTATCTACGTGTTTATGTTTGTATGCTTTCCTCTTATGCCAGTCGCAGACCAAGTTTGCTTTCCTGCGCTGCGCTGCAAAATGAATGAAAAAAAACTAAACGTATTTTTGCATGAAGCCCTACTATGCGATTCTCATGAATTCGACTACGATCTACAGGTTTAAATGCTCTGATTGTGAGTGCTATATTAACAAGCTGTGTTAGCAATCTAAGAAACTTGGTTCTTGTATCTTGTATATGTGAATGTGTGGGGGTGTGTGTATGTATGCTTACATGTATATATGTTAAGTTTTAGCAAACGCAATTAAGAACTTTCCGCTGCGCTGCCAATTAAAAAGAAAGTATTTTTAAATGCCCTACTATGTGATTCTTATGAATTTCTAACTTGTCGATCACTTTTGTCTGCTTATTAGTATACATATATACTTATTTAAATGTCTATAAGAGTAAATCTTTAACCAATGCACACCTAAATACGATTTATTTATATGTTAGTAATTATATTTTCCAGCTAAAAGGATAATCTCCATCTAATTTCATATATTCTCGTAGTCAAGGTTTATTAAAGGTGAGGTTAAGGCTGAACAACTCAGCCCTCGCAGTCTATAGGCTGCTATTACTGCCGGGTATCTTAAATATATTAGCTGTACAGTGGTGCTTAAGCGTCTGTCATTGAGCGAATCAAATTAGTGGAGCAATCTATAGCTGCAACCCGCCCCGCTGCCGAGTAGGAAGTGACGCATTCCTTTAAAACCCATGAGAGATGCTATCTGCGCACCTTTTTGCCAGTATATTTATTGTTGCCAATTAATTTGTTAAAATTAGTAGAGCAGGCGCACGTCTCGAGGCACGAGGCTCATAGCTTGTGCCTCCAACCTGGCAGCCGGTAGTTTCAATTGTGCAATCATTGGCGGGCGGGCAGGGGGAATGGAGGGCATCTACTGCTTATCGATAAGCGAAGGCGCAAACGACGCGGCTCTAGGAGCAAATTGTTTGGCTCGTCTTTTGTATTGCGGGCAAAATGTATACCACGTACACGTATTTATCCATTGCTTAGGCGCCATATATTGCTACAGCTACTGCTCCAGATACTGTGGGCCCCTCGCCCAACCCCTCTGCGAACCCCCTGCAACCCCCTGCTGGTGCCGTTGCTGATGTTGCGCCTCTTGCGGCTGGCGCGTCTTGGGCCTTGCATGAATGCTAAATTAATTTCAAATGAATACAAATGGCTTTTCGCTTTTAAGACCGGGCCAGAAGCAAAGCACAGCACAGCAAATTTACACACGCACACCAAGCACACACACACACACACATACAGAGAGAGAGAAAGAAAAACGCGAGCGTTGTCTGTTTTACATTTCGCTCTGTTTTTCGCACAGGTTTCAACATTTGATATAACTCTTCGGCCCCGACGGCTGCTGACTCACTGGCTCAGCCTTTTTATGGGCCCGCATGTCGGCACGGCCACGTTTATCAGATGCACCGTTGTAAAATTTACAGCTAGGAACGGCACAACCGGACCCGTTAATTCAATTCAGCGTAACGCTGAAATTTGCTTGCGCCTATACGTCTAGAAGTACCCCACTCCCCTTCCTCCACCCACCAAATAACCCCTGTGTTGGCTACCCAAAAACCGACAACTGGCAATGGCTATTACCCAATAACTAGAAAACGCGGCTAATCGCGTGAATAGTTTTGGGGGCGCCATAATTGATGTTTACAGCTAAGCGAATGGGACTCAAAGTGTTAGATGGGTGGGGGTTGGGCGTTGGGCGTTGGGGGTTGGCAGGGGGGTGTGCGTCGCTCACATTTCGTGAATTACCATTTCGTTGCCTACTTTTTGGGGCACCTGTCCGCTCGCTGCTGCTGCTGCTGTTGCTGCTGCTATTGTTGTCGAAGCGGGACTTGGAGTTGAGGATTAGGGGTTGGGGGTCTAAGGACTGGCGACCAGAAGTTGCTTTCAACGATGCCCTGATTTAATGCATTTCATTGAGCGATAGCAATGGGCGGCGGCCACTCAGTCACTTTGCGTTCATTATTCAATTTGAGGTGGATTTAGATGTGCAACCGATTGGGGCATCAGCCTCGGCCACAGCGGTTGCCACCATGCTTATCGATGGGTGTGCATTACGTGCTATACAAACACTCGAAAAAAGTTGAGATATAGAATGTAGAGTATACTATGGAACATAGAACATAGAACATAGAACATAGAACATAGAACATAGAACATAGAACATAGAACATAGAACATAGAACATAGAACATAGAACATAGAACATAGAACATAGAACATAGAACATAGAACATAGAACATAGAACATAGAACATAGAACATAGAACATAGAACATAGAACATAGAACATAGAACATAGAACATAGAACATAGAACATAGAACATAGAACATAGAACATAGAACATAGAACATAGAACATAGAACATAGAACATAGAACATAGAACATAGAACATAGAACATAGAACATAGAACATAGAACATAGAACATAGAACATAGAACATAGAACATAGAACATAGAACATAGAACATAGAACATAGAACATAGAACATAGAACATAGAACATAGAACATAGAACATAGAACATAGAACATAGAACATAGAACATAGAACATAGAACATAGAACATAGAACATAGAACATAGAACATAGAACATAGAACATAGAACATAGAACATAGAACATAGAACATAGAACATAGAACATAGAACATAGAACATAGAACATAGAACATAGAACATAGAACATAGAACATAGAACATAGAACATAGAACATAGAACATAGAACATAGAACATAGAACATAGAACATAGAACATAGAACATAGAACATAGAACATAGAACATAGAACATAGAACATAGAACATAGAACATAGAACATAGAACATAGAACATAGAAGTCAACCTATTTGTCAACCAATTTTTAGCTCAGTGCATAAGCTCTTATTGGAGGTGTTTAGAGACTTTTAACTAGCTTCAAAACCATATCAAAGAGCATAGCTAACTTGCACCCTTTGACCTTTAGCATACAAATCAAGAATTCCCTTTTATATATATCTTAAAATGTCACCCATACGCACAGGTGTGTTTGTGTACGTGTGTGAGTGTGTGCGTCGCATCAACATCGCATCGCATCGCATCAGCTGCCATTTAACTCACCTTCAGTTAGTCTGGATGCTGCCTCAAGGCTGTTGAAATGCTGTCAAGCACTTGGTAAGGCTCATGTTTTTCTATCGATTTTCATGTCTGATTTTCTAGGACTACCCAATTTGATTTACATGCAAAAGTCGAGCCCGTCGAGCTAATGCCAGCAATTCATTAGGGAAAATATTTCCTTGTCGAGGCCAAATAGAATCAGCACTTGCCATCCCCGTCGATAACGACGGCTCAATGTAAATTTCCAATCGCAGCGGAACGAAGTGTATTAAAAAGCACTTTCAGTTTTATTGCAGCTAGTGCTTAGCCATGGATGAGGGCAGCATTCAATCATTTCAATTATTTTGTATTGGCTATAAAAAGCTTTCAAACAAAGTACTACAAAGTTAAATGAGGTTGAATCCGATGCTTTCACGCTGTCAAGCTGATATCTTCGCAATTTATAACCTGCCACTGTCTCTCCATTTAAATTTCATATTTTATTGTTTGCTAGAAGAGTGCAGCCTGCCAGGTAATGCATGCAGTTGTGCTTACTCTTCTCCCTCTCTATCGCTCCCACTCTCTCTCTCTCTCTTTCTCTCCACCTCTCTCCCTCCCTTTCGTATTAAAACGCTCAAAAGAGAGAGTGCGCCTTTGTGTCTGCTTTGTGTCGCATCCTTAACATTTCACTGGCAGCTGCAAAAGTTTTCTTTGCATAAGCTTGACTTATTTCAAGGCCTTTGCAGCGGGTGCCACAAATTCTTAAGGTCTATAGCCTTGAATATTTATTAGACTTAAAATAATAGGACATTCAGCTTGCGAATTGCGAGTTTTCATATAAAGACTACTTTATTTCAGTTATTTATTCCTTCGCTCAGTTCTGCTGATAAGCTTTGCCTCCTCCATATTTTTGTCCCACTTGTCGACATAGTTGTTGTTATGCATATGTCATTAGGCGTCTGATTTATTTAAAATGTTTTTGCAACATCCTTTAACGATTATTTGATTTGTTAACGGCCCTCTTACTGTGGCTCACAAACTACTTAAATGTCACATGGTCAGTTAAACTTTACTATTGCCTTTCCGCTTAATAATGATTTATGTTATGGCCAAAACAAAGAAATCTGCATATAAGGCATGCATATATAATAATTAATGGAATATGCATGTGCCATGCGCGTGTGTGTCATATAAATATTTACATACATATATATCCCTTCGACTTTGTAGCATTCGTATCCTTTTTCCACTTGAGCTTAACTGTCCAACACTGAATTGAATTCCCCGCACAGGCTCCCGCACTCTCCCCCCGCTGCCCATTCACCCCGCGGGAGCATTTACATAGAGCACACACATACGACGTATGGGCCAAAAGGACTTTTTGTCTGCGTCTCCTTTTAGACTTGGACATTAAGCATCTGATATGCATCAAATATAACTCAATTGCCGGACTACTTGGCTCTTTGGAGCTGAATAACCAGGAAATACTTTCGACTTAGGCCAAACTTAGGCCATTGGTTGCTTTTGGCACCCCTTTTTCCCTTTAGCTGTTTGTGCCAGTTCCTCCTCCGGCTCCAGCTTCTGCTCCTGCTTTCCCTATCTCTCAATCTGCATCTATATTTATATGTGCTCTTTCGCTGTGGTATACCACACTCTCATCCTGACATTTTCCATTCATTTTCGCAAGTGGCTTCGGATTTACTTTTTATACCCTGTGAACATGTGATTCACTTGGAATGGTATATGGTTGTTAAGCAGGCAGTTTCATCTCCCAAACTATATAGTTAATATATTTTTTGCTATGATATAGTCATAACCTTTTATATATTAACCCGTGCAAGAGTTTATCACAAATTATAATATGTAGTTATTTATTCTTATTAAATATAATTAATTTCTTCTTTCTTTCGGCTGCATACAAGATATTTTTCCTACAGTTTTTTTCACACACTCGAAAATAATTACAACATATTTAAAAACAAAATTTGAAGCTTAAAGTCTGCTAGTCTCTCGCATATAATCTATATATATTTCTTTTTATATTCATATAAGTACAGAAGTAGTACATTCTCTATTCATAAAATAAGCGAGTAGTTAAGCCACTTTCCAACTGATTATAGGGCATCTGTTCGTCGAGCACGCACACCATTCTCACTTGTTCTATTGGCATTCCGGTGTCGCTTACCGAAACTCTGCTCTCAAACACAAACAAATGCTGCGTTTTGTTTATTTACATAAGCATACATATATGTTTGTAGCATATATACTTAAGTTTATATACATATATATATTGTATATATATGTACTATATACGACTGTCTGTCGCTTGAAGATATTTGGCTAAAGGCTTTTAGGGCCAGCTCGCCGTTAGTTGGCGCTTCAAGCGAACATAAAAATGCCCTTAAAAGCCGGCACAGAGACTGAAGACACAAAACAAGAAAGTGGACACAAATAAAATATAAAAAAAAAAACATAATACAAACCATCAAGAAAAACGAAGCAAATATAAAACTTATACCAAAAAGGGATTGACGGATATAAATGGTGATATGACCTTAGGTCATTTGTATAAAATTAAGTTGAGCAACATAAAAACCAGCCCACAAACAAAATAACAATAACAAAAATAACAGAAAAAAAAAACAAAATCTCAGCAAATAAAAACAAAATACAAAACAGAACAAAAACTAAATAGCTAACAAGGGGAAGTCTCCCAGTTTTTGTGCTCTACGGTTTAATCAAAGTCTTCAAATCGATTTATAATAAAAAGGAATACTGAAAACCCGCAGCCGCGCAGAGGCTAACTGTAAGAGCTAACTAAAAAGCCCACTCGAATATCCTTGACGCGCTTTTCATTTGGCCGCGTTCATCTTTAATAAATTTTTATGCCGTATGCTAATAAAGATTTTCTGTCGTGCCCCAGGCCATTTGCCACGGCCAAAGCAAAGCTTCTGGTTCTGCTCTGGCTCTCGTCCTACCTCTAGGAAGGCGGAGGGGCAGAGGAGGGGCACCCATTTTAATATCCAGCCACGTATGTCATGGCACAAAACCATTAAGCACAAAAAGCAAAGTAAAATGCTAGAGCTGAATGCAGGAGCGAAACAACATAGAAAAGGAAGAAAATATATATACAAACACAGATACATACACATACATATATAGAAAAGATGTAGAGGAAGCAGCGGAAAAAGCAGGAAAAAAATTATGCCCCAGACGCCGCTGAATTTTAAATGAGCCTTTATGGGCTTCATTTCAGCGTGTAAATTATCTCATTTGTCAGCAATTGCGCTGTGCGTGTGTTAGTGCATATATGTGTGACTCTCTGTGTGTGTGTGTTTGTGTGTGCGTAGCTCAAGTGCTCGCCCAGACGGCCATGCCCCACCGCCCGCATTCATATGCGACATGTAGTCAGCCATTTGTAAAATGATTCAATGGCGTCTCCTGACATTTAATGAGATAAGCGCACGCTTTCTGCGATAAGATTATGTTTTGCCCCCGCAAAGACCAACCGTTGCGTATCAACATGCCATTGCCAGTATTGAATGCAAGTACAGTGAATCCTTTAAGAACGAACAGCTCCTTACAGCGCACAACTCCTTGGAGCAATGAATTTGCTGCTGCTAAATTTTGTGGCCAACTTTTGAAACAAGAAATTTATAAACAGCCGTTGCCAATATGGAGTACACGTACAGTGAAACCTTTAAGAACGAACAGCTCAGCGCAGCGCACAACTCCTTGTGACAATTAATTTGCTTCGGCCCAATTTTGTTGACAACTTTTGCCCCAAAATGCTTATTTTCTTTACAAAAACATCTTAAAAACAGTCATTACCCGTTTTAAATGCAAGTACAGTGAAGTCACTACAAACGATCGAACAGCTTCTCAGAACGTACAACCCCTTCAGACTTTCAACTAACTTCGGCTCAATTGTGCTCCCACCTTTTGTCCAAAATATCTTCTTTTAATTATAACGAGAAAGAAAGGCTATCTTCGGCACGCCGAAGATCTAATACCATTGCAGGCCCAACCTTTTCATAATGCTTATAGTGCTTTGCTCGTATCTAAGAAGCACAGGGAAAATAGTTAATGCCGAGTTTGGTCAAGATATCTTGATAAACAAAATGTTTTTTCATACAAAAACTCAATTTTCGACCGATCGTTCCTATCGCAGCTATATGATATAGTGGTCCGATCTTAATAGGATTTTGCATATATATGAGGAGTAAAGTAAAACTAATAAATGCCGAGCTTGGTCAAAATATCTTGATAAACAAAATATTTTTTCATACAATAACTTAATTTCCGACCGATCATTCCTATGGCAGCTATATGATATAGTGCTATCCAGCTGGTTTTCACATATGTGCTGCGTGCAACAGAAAGACGGACTTCTGAAAAATTTCATTAAGATAGCTTTAAAACTGAGAGACTAGTTCGCATAGAAACAGACAGACGGACAGATGGACATGGCTCTATCGACTCGGCTGTTGATGCTGATCAAGAATATATATACTTTATGGGGTCGGAGATGTCTCCTTCTATGCGTTACACATTTCACGACAAAATTATAATACCTTCTGAAAGGGTATAAAAATCTTTTGCCGGGCAAAGCAAATTTTTGCAAACAAAATAAATACATTTGGACTTAAATATGTGCATCGAATTTATAAACAGTCCAAAATGTGAATTTTTGTTTGAAATCAAGTAAAATAATTACCTATTATTCTATAATTTTCTTCTATTAATTACACTTAGAGAAAAATTCTACCACGCAATTCCGACTGAAATCAAGCACAAACTTTGTCAAAATTGAGAATATTCTTAAGCTGAAAGAACTTTATCAAAAATTTTTCTTAAATTTTATTTTCTATAATTTCTATTTGTTAAGCGGGCAGCTTCCTAGCAGATCCCAGAAGTGCGTGTCCACAGATATACAGATATACAACTATGTATGTATATATACATATGCATATATAAATATCTGTATACTATATACAACCACACATATCCACATATCATCTGCAGCAATTGGCCCACACGCAATTCCGAGCATAATCGCACATCGGAATGCGCTTACGCCTTGGAATCCGCTTGTTGGATGCGCTGAGGGCTTCTCATAAATGAAATGCAAACAAATCTGTAACATCGCAATAAGCCCCTAGAACCAAACCAAATACAAACCGCAACGAAGGGGACGGAAATATACTTATACGCACATTTAAGTTGTCACAAAGAGATTTGGCAGTTGGGGTCTGTTTGGCCAATATTTGGTTAAAATTTGGTCGGCGCGACAATGTGTTTATCAGCCAGATTTTATTTACTTGAACTGCGACCCTTGTCTAACCTAAGCCAAAAAAAACGTTTGCTGATTAGTTAGTTGAAGATGTTTTAATTTGAAGAAAGTATTAAATATGTTTGCACAGAATACCCCATGAATATTAACACTTAAATGAGACAACATATTGATTATCTTATATTTAGCTTAAGTATCCTATTAAATTATGTTACACAATAGAAAAAAAATGGGTTCCTGAAAATTACTTTTTGTAACTAAAGGCAAGGTAGAAATTGGTTTGGCAAACAATTCCTGCATGTCTAGAGCATCTTTGTTGCACATTGCCACTAATTTACAGCATGATAAAATGCTATTAGACAATAAAATGCAATGAAAATAAATTCACTTAACTCTTCTTCATATCTGAAAATATTTCCTTTGTTAACTTTTTTCTCTTTTATACAGCAGTCAACCGTGAAATAACTCTTTAGAAATTCGCCTGGTTTTCTATGGGAAAAAACTGTTGGTTGACTGCCTCATAAAAATGGCAAAATGTTTGTAGCTCAAGCTACCAATTAGTACTTGAAAATTTTAATGTATGTTTGTATAAATGTGTTTTGTTATTTTTATTTCAATTTAATTTTTTATTTTCGTTGGTTTCATTTTATTCTAGCAAACTTGGCCATGTTTGCGTTTTCTGTGGACAAACTCGCCTGGACGTCGACATGAATAGCATACATAACTATATGTATATATATGTATATATATATATATATATATACATATGCCTGTGTGTGTGTGTGTGTGTGTGTGTGTGTGTGTGTGTGTGTTTGTGTTTGTGTGTGTGTGTGTGTGTGTGTGCGTGTGTGTGTGTGCATAACAAAAGTAGCGAAGTTCTGGGCAACCGGGCGCCGTACCCACCTTTTGACAAGGGCATAATTAAAGCATAACAGGAGTAACAGCAACGCCCCGTAAACGTGCCCAAAACAGGCTCCACCAAAAAATAAACCCCCCTTGCCAGGCAACGTTACAGTTCCTAGCCAAGGCGCTGCGGATCAGGGCGCGGCGGCGAGAGGGAGGCGGGATAGCGGATAGAAAAGTCGTGGCGAGGCAAGGCAGGGCGCACATAAAAGCGAAACCCACTACATGGGGTGAAAACAGGTTGTTACTTCCTTGCAAACAAGGTTCCGTTACCGTTATGCCGTTACATATGCATGTGTGTGTGTGTGTGTGTGTGTGTGTATGTGTTTGTGTGTGTCTGTAGCTGGCGTATAAAAGAAAAGCACGTTATTGCCAATTTAACTTACATTGTGCATGTGTCTTTAAACAAAGATTTATGTACCCACTTGCATGCATACTCATAGCTACCCAAGTATAATATATACAAAGTGTGTTATTGTTGTTGTTGTGTGTGAGTGTATGTGTATGTGTGGGCGTGGGTCAGGTGTGCGCGTAATAACTTGCTATAGATATGTGTGGCGGTTGCTACGTGCCGTGCTGCCACTTAAATCAGCATAATGATATGCACTTATTGTTGTGGCAAATTTGTTAGCGGATATGCTGAGAGAAGCGGCAGCCCAGGAGGACCGCACCACCCACCACACAGCACCGCAAAGGCCTGTCGCTGTCGATTTCTTCATTTGCCTAATACGAGTCGACGCCATCATTAATCTAAAATATGGCTAAGACACACGCACACATATACGCACAACCACTAACACAGAGAGACGTCTAACGATGTGCATGTAATTATGCTCAACCACACACGCATTTACTCACTCACTCACACTCATTCGCTCTCGCATTTGCGTAAGCCTTGTTAATCGTGACAAAAGCTTATTGCGGTTTATTTGGGCTACTTGTTTCACATGCGGCGTCAATGTCGCTGCCGGCAAAAAGAAGAATCACACATATATACATATATGCTGGCATGTAATACAGTTATATGGCCAAGCATATGTGAGTGCTTGTCTGGCCGCGACTGGTCTCACTGGCAGCGCGCGTCACTTGCACACACATAATAAACATTTTAAACATTATATTCGTGTTTAGCAGCAGCTTCTTGCCTGCTAGTTGTTTTCGTTGTTGTTGTTGCTGCCAGAAGCATGCGTGTGTGTGGGTGAGCGTGTGTTAGCTTCGAGCAAAATTTACGGGTTTTAACGAATAATGGCGCTTGTGGGAAATGAACGTTTTGTGTTCGCTTCTGCTTGTCATCGCATCGCGCCGAACACTCGCAACGCATTCCGAACACACACAGCATTCACCACTTTATCAGCATTTTACTTTGGCTCTTATTACCACCCACACTCAGTACATTAGGGCACACACTCAAACTTACACACAAACACACACGCACACACGTGCACAAGCACGCTTCTATGAGTTTTGCGAGTCTCTAAGGAAATTAAAAAAACAACTAAAACAAATTAACAATGTAATGACAAAGTCTTATATGGCCCACATATACATACATAAATAAACATATATGTTTCATACATAAACAAGCTGCGGCTTCTTGAAAACAGACACTCACACCCACACACTCTCTCCAACACACACACACAGCAGCCAGCCTGCTAATAAGGTATCGAGCATTCATCCCGAAAAAAAATTGAATTACCTACAATGGGGCCGCCCTGTGCTCTTGGGACCACCCACAGCACAATGACTATGTTAAGTATACAACACGGATTCGAGCAATTCGCAATGCTCGCAATGGCAAACGCTTTTAATGATGATCGATTTGGGTAAACAATGGAATTTCCGCATTCAAATTTTATTGCCAGCAATCAGTGGCGTACTTTCCGGTTGCTCGCCTTCACAATAAGTGCGTAATGTTAAATACAACAACACATTTATTTACCAAAATTGCATTAATCTATCAAGTGTGCCGCCCTTTTGCTGTTTAGCTAGCTAATTTTCAATAGAAATTGAATGATTGTTATTGTCAGATCATATGTGTGTAGGTGTGCAGCCACCCCTATAAAAAATGAGTACTTTTAACCTATAAAAAAAAGAGTACTTTTAAAAAAATAACGATATAATTAACTTGAGGCACCCTTTAAAGCGCTGAGCCAAATGCCAAACAGCTGTTTTCAGTCAATACCAATTTTTGGTATATTTTTGAGGTATTTTTGGCAAAACAAGGAAACGGTCACACTTCCTCACAATTGTAAACAAGTGTAGAGTGTTGCCAGACTATCGAATACTGCCATAACACAAATACCACAGATTTGTAATTAAAGAAATAACTAATTGTGTATGTTTGTGCTCAGTTTATGTGCGAAATAATTGGCTGCCAGCTGTGCAGCAATTACATGTTCTAACTGATGTGCAGCAGCAGGAAAAACAGAGCGAGCAGCCGCGACACAAGCATTCCAATGCACTTTCTCTCCATGGTGTAAAACCAGTCTTGCGGCTTTTTGTTGCTGTTCTTGTTGTTGTTGTTGTTTTTGACATCTATTCGATATCAATAGAAAAATACAGGCCAAATACGTTGCCGCGTTTGTGTGTTGTGTTGTTAGCAGACTACTAAGCACCTGTGTGCCACAACAGCAACAACAACAACGAAAATCAAGCACGCTGATTGCTGTCTTTAGCCGTCTTTATTGGCCAGTCACATCTTGCCCACTCTTGAGTGCGTTTCTCGATACTCTCGCGCTTTAAGAATTCATAATTTGCATAAATTTTTGCTATATGCATAGCCCTGGCCGAGCATGTTTCTCCAATTGAGTCATTACGCCACGGAATTTTGTGCTAAAAGTAAGTTTGTCAGTCCACCCAAAAAAAATTAAAGAAGAAAAATGTTCTAAATCCGCTTTCACATTAGGCCACACATAACCATATATATCCTATATATATATATATATATATATATATATATATATATATATATATATTGTTTTTATATACACAAACAAGATGTCTTCAATTGAGGAGAAAGTGCGCAGCATATTGAACGCCAAAGATCTGGGCGATATAACAGCAGAACTATGCGATTTCTCGCTGAAAGAGCAGTTTGCCACGGCCGAGGCGCAAGGCGTGCAGCCATCGGCGACGGCCGACTTTGTGCCCCAGGTCGGGCAGACGATCAACTATATTGTGGCCTGTGTGCTGTTCAATGAGCACGACGAGCTACTCATGATCGAGGAGGCCAAGCCCAGCTGTGCAGGTGAGTCAACCAAGTTATTTGGCAAAGTGAAATGAAATATGATTTGTTTTTCTTTTCATAAGGCAAATGGTATCTGCCGGCAGGTCGCATGGAAAAGGGCGAGTCGATCACAGAGGCAGCGGCACGTGAGCTGTTCGAGGAGACAGGCCTCAATGGCGAACTGACCACGTTGCTGGCCGTGGAATCGGCCGGTGGCTCCTGGTTTCGCTTTGTGCTAACGGGTCGCATTACGGGCGGACGGCTTAAAACGCCCGCCGATGCGGACTCGGAGTCAATACAAGCTCTGTGGCTGCGCAATCCCAAAGAGGTGCCGCTGCGTGCCAACGACATACTGAGCATCATTGAAATCGGACGCGCCTATCATCAGCACCAGAAGCAGACACAGCAGCAGCCGAATGTGCCACACCAACCACAGTGGCATGGCAATGTGCTGCCCACACGTCATCCGCACAAGCGCAACTATATGCGTGTGCTTGCCGTGGCGCGAAAACGTGCCAGCAACTCGATGAACATACTCATCAGCGAGAAGAATACGCATCATTTTCCGACCGTCGAACTGCATCCGAATCGCAGCCTGCACTCGACATTGCGTAAATTTATGATTGAAATATTTGGCGCCGAGCTGCCGCAGCATCGGCCACACGGCCTGCTCAGCGTGGAGCATGCAACAAGCAGCGAAGAGTGCACCGATGGCATCTGCCTGAATCTGCTGGTGGCTTTTAGGCCGCCGCTTGAGGAGATTTCGCTAATTGGCAAATGCATTTGGCAGGAGCTCAGCCCGCCGCTAGACGAGACGCTGGCCCGCATACTCAGCAGCAAACATGCGTCCATTCCACTGAACGTGGTACGATAACTGCTTATCGGACTAGTTCTAGCCTAATCTCTCTATCCAATGGTGCAAGCTCATATATATATATATAACCTTTAATTAGATAATACCAATGGCCACTCATTTACACAAATGAGACAGTCGAGTCTGTGTTTGACTTGGACTCCTATCTTTTAAATTAAATGTGAAACATTTTACTCGAGCTATTTAATTTGATTTGATTTTGATTTTCTTTAATCTTAGCTCTTGGTTAGCAACTGTTTTAGTTTCGAGCCTGGGCAAAGTTTCTGAAAATCAAACGTTTCTCAGTTGTACACTAAATTTTATTGGCTATTTACAGTTCGTTGCGAAGTGATCTGACGCAATTTATATATGTTCATGCAGAATTAACTTTATGTCTGGTTTGGGTGTGGGTGTGCGTGTGTGTGTGTGTGTGTATCCAGTATTGTTATAGTTGACTAGGTCAAATTAGCATGCACGACGTTTACTAACACTTAACCATAAATTTATCCCTTCCATATCCTGTTAAATATATCCATAAAGGAGTCGTAGATCATGAACGTAATCGCCACATCCAGGCACACGCGTCCCAGACGCGGCACCGTGCCCTTGTAGAATGCCGCCAGGCCCTCGTTCTTAAATATTTGCATTGCACAATCCGCCGTACTCTTGTACTTGGCTGCCTCAAGGCCCTGCATACGGGTCTTAACCACATCCAAGGGTGTGTTGCCAAACACGGATGCGGCTCCCGCAATGGCACCAAACAAACCCACCAACAACTTGGGCACCGGCTTCTTATGATCACCGCCCTGCAGAGAAGAGAATTAAAGGTGGGTACTATATTTAAATCTGTTATTTGACATTTTAGAGATAAAACTAGGTTGAAATGCTTTCGAACACATAAAAATCGCGATCCGGATTAAAAAAAATTATTGAAAGTGTAAAATCTGGGAAAAAGTTAAGATTAGATCAAAGATTAAAGATAAAATCAGATTGAAATTTTTTCCACTATAAAAATTTAAAATGTAGGATGAAGTTAAGACTAGAAAACCCTATAAGTCAGAACTTTTAATATCTGGAGATAGAAAATAAGTTCAATAATGCGTTTTATGCTAATACAAATTTTTTAAATTCTAAATTTTTACAGAAAATTAATTTAAAAAACCTAGAAATAAGAAAATAATTTCTTTCAAGTTTTCAAAAAAAATTACTGATGAAAAAATTACTGATAATATCAACTCTGGGATGAAGTTAAGAATTAGAAAGCCCTATAAGTAAAAACAATTAATATTTAGAACTAGAAAATGATTTCAATATTGCGTTTTATGCTATCATAAAATTGAATCAAATTTTTAAAATTCTAAATTTTCAAAAAATTACTTTAAAAAACCTCAAAAAGAAAGCTAAGTTGCTGTCATAAAATACTAGAATTGTGTTTTTCAATTATTAAATGCAAATTGAGATCACATAATTATGAAAATTATTGTCCTGTAAATTAGAAATCTTAGAAAGGTGGGTCAAACAAACCTTGGAATTTTAGAGGTAAAAATGTGACAAATGTGTAATAAATCAAATCAATCTTTCTGTCAACAGCGATTTAAAAGTATAATTCATATGGAATACAGATCTCAAGTAGTAAGTTACCTTATACAGATCCTTCAACGATTCCATGACAAAGAAGCGTATGGCCTGATTGGAACCCTGCTTCATGATGGTTGCCGAGAGGCCCTTGTAGATGCCGCTGATGCCCTCCGTTTTGATAATTTCCCGGACGCCATGGGCAAAGCCCTTGAACTTGGGATTCGCACTGCGCTGATCGTTGATAAACTTCACCTTAATTGTTTCCATGGGCGTGACCGCAATGATGGCCTCACACACACCAGCCCCCAGGCCGCATAACAGCTTGCCTGAGCCGCTAAGCTGGCCCTGAGAGTCGACGAAGTTGGAGCGCAGGAATTCAAAGGCACCAAATCTGCAACGGGTTAAAAGCGCTTAGCCTGGCATCAGCTACGAGCTCGAGTGGAAACTCACCTGGTTGCCGACTTGGGTATGCTGCCGTAGATGAGCACGCTGAGGCCTCGGTAGAGTCCGAAAAAGCCGCGTTGCTGGACCGTCTTCTTCACGCAATCCACAATGCCATTGTAGCGTTTATTGGCGCCCTTCTCGTCCAGCTGCAGTTGCGTCTTCACGTATTCGGTGGGATAGGTTATGCAGATTTCAATGCCGCCGGTTATGCCGCCGGCAATGATACCCTTCAATCCCTTGGAGCCACCACCGGGCGCCGCGGCAGCGCCGCTGTTTATCATCCAGGGGCGTGCATGGAAGGGGCTCATAAACGTGGACAGTCTTTGGCGATCCATGTCAAGCTCTGACCTAGCATAACCGTGAAGTTCGGAGAATAAGAACGCGATTAAGCTATTGTAATACATGGTTTTTGCAGTGGTCATAGGTGTTATGTGCTTATACAAAATAAAAACCAATTCAAAAATTCATCTACAACAAATTTTGAAGAGCACAGTGTTTGTTTGAACTAAATTTAGATAGAATAAAAAATCCATTTCAAGGGGAGTTTCTTGTCAAAATGGGCAAGTTCCGAGTATGCAGGAGGTGTGTAGGGGGAGGCTATAAATACATTCGGAAAACAAGTTCTGGAGGTAACATTATCATTGGATGCATAGAACATGCAAGAAATGGACCATTTATGCCCGAACAAAACTGTAACTGTGACTTTCAAGCTGTGACTTTTTAGGAATTATTGACGCTAATAAATTTGTCTTGATATATGAAAGTTATTATCTAATGCACCTATAAAACAAGTAAGAGGTTCTAGTCAGGAGCTCCCGACTTGGGGATACCCTGAAACCTCTTCTTCCAACATCAAATGCATATATATATTCTATTTTAGAAGCTATATGTCAAGTTTGGTGACTCTAGCTCTTATTATTTACCAAAATTGCCGAAAAAACAGGATAACGATATCGATTTTTATCGATTGCTTGGAAACGGAGTAAGTTATCCATTATCGGAAACAAAAAAAACGATCTGCGCAGGCACTAGGAGCACCTACATCTAAAATTTCAAGTCTCTAGCTCTTATAGGTTCTGAGATCCTTGCGTTCATATATACGGACAGACGGACGGAAGGACAGACAGACGGACATGGCTAGATCGACTCGGCTATTGGTGCTGATCAAGAATATATATACTTCATGGGGTCGGAGTTGCTTCCTTCTGCCTGTTATATACATTTGGATTTTGCACAAATACAATATATCCTTATACGTATTTCTAATGGGTTCAGGGTATAATTAACTGAGCAGCTCCTTAACTGTATCACACACATGTGAATACTTCAAAAAACTGTTATCCAAAGTTTAGAATCTCCAGATTGAATAAATAACGTTCATCCCGTAGGTATTTCACGAAACCAATATACCCCTTTCTCATATATTCCAAGAACTTTGTTAAGGTTAGGTTTATAGCTAATCAATAACGTCTGCTTGTTTCGTGACAATTCTTGATTTTATCGCGACGTTTTTCACCTTGAAATCAAAGTTCAACATTGAAAACTATGTTGTATAAGACGTCGGAGCTAATACATAATGAATAGAAATGTGTCTATACGAGTCTGTCAAATGCTTTTGAAACATCTGCAACTGATTGCGATTACTTAAGATCGTATTAGAGTGATTCGAAACGAAACGGATGGAAAAGGGAATGTCAGAAGAATTCGCTTTTTGAGCTTTTTGCACTTGACAATTTTTTTTCTTGTTATATAATTTTTGCTGTCACATAATAAATTATGGAATCTATAGCAATTATTTTGCATGTTCAGGAATTTCGCTCAATATTTATAACAATTAAACAAACTCAAACATTGCCGATAAAGATAAACAAAGTTTTATGATAACTTTTCGTTGGAAATGAGCGCACGCACACATATACACGCACGCACGCAATACCAATTCCAGTAAGCTTCTAGTTGGAGAGCTGCCGCCGCTATTCGATCGGCATTTCTGATTGAATAAAACAGTGCACTTATTCTAAGCCTGTTGCTTCAATTCAACTTACTTAATTATAATTGTGTAAATGCAATATTCGAACTGCCTTGGCACTGGAACTCTTTGGTTGTTTCTATATGAGCTGATTGGAATGCGACGGCGACGCGTTCGCGGCTAAGGCAGCGACTCAACTGCCTTCATGCTATGGAAAAAACAAATTCCATTTTCCAATCACAAGAGAAAGCTACAAAAATTCAAATAAGCAGCACATTTGTAAACAAGCAGACACAAACCAACTGCTGCTGCTCACTGGCGATCAAGCGCCAAAGCGAGAGCGCGAGCGAGCTTGAGAGGAAGAGCGTGCCGACGCGACGGCGGAGAGCTAAATTAACGGCGATGGCGTGATACTAGATTTTTTCGTTTATGACGACGCGGCAGAAAAAAAGATTTGCGCCTCTTAATGAGCAAAACCAGTTTTGCCAAACTTACCAGAGCTTTTTCAACTGGAAAAGCTCGCCCTTGCGCTAAAAAAACGGAGAGTAGACAGAAATGACTTTTTTTAAGTGCTTAAATAAGCGCGCAGTAAACAGCCGCAAAGTAGACAACAGTTTTTTCGTTTTAGCTTTGCAGCGATTACACAATGCAAGCACGCACACACAGGCACGTGTACGTGTGATATGCTGTTGTTGTTGATTAACTCAAGTCATGCACCGTTATTTATCTTTCGCCCACGAATCGATATAACTGTTATCAGTTTATAGCACATAATGTATGAGTGTTTAATTTTTTTTATTATTTACCATACTTCTTATTTAATCAGCAGACATGTGGATGATACTATACTCTATACTAGAACCGGCAAACTGTAACTGTTAGCGCAACCAAATGCCGTAAGGTTAGTCACTGTTGCCTCCCATAACTGAACTGCGCATGACTCACCCACACAAACAAAGCTGTTCATGTGCTGACATCAACAGTTACAGTGACGCCAGGAATTGCGTAGGAGCCGCATTACTTTTTACTATGGGTAAAAGCTGTGTCGAATAACTCGAGATTTCTGCAATATGCTAAAAAACACATAAACGAATTGAATTTGTTCCCATGTAAACCTGATATAATATCAAGCAAAGCCGCCGACATACAATACTTCGACCCTGAACAAAAGCCAACTTTGTATTATCGGATACAATTCGAATATCAGCAT